ACGTTAAGAAAATAAGATTAGCGGAAAAATGTAAAGGCTTTTAGTCATTGAATGAAATGTCCATTTGGTGAACAGTTCTGGTTGATAATGGAGAAATGAAGTAAGCATCTCGGTAGAAAAAGTTGAGGAATTATTTAGCTGGGAAGAAAGCATCGGAGTTGTCTGGTAGAGTTGGAGAGGAAAAGGTCATTGTGAGCCAAGAGTAAAGTTCATAACGGATGTTAGTGTGGTGTCTATAAAGTGATTGATAGACAATAGTGAAAAATTTGAAAAGATTATGATATAATTAGTAACTGGATGTAATAAGCTAAATGAAAAGCAATGATGAAGAAAGGTGGTGAAAAGAAGATATTGGGTCAATAATGAAGCCAGAGAAAGGGAAATCTATAAACAATGTAAATTATACTACCTGAGGTTGAAGTAGGGGCTTAAAAGAATATAAACTATGTCTAATTAAGAGTTTACTAGGGGAATTCGGGTCATCAGAGAAGAGTGAAGAGAAAGATTTAAAAAGTGTAGAGAACATTTAAAGTTTGGAGACTCATGTAAAAGTTTCCTTTAATGGGATTTCCACAGACACATGGAGAGAAGCAAAGGAAATGAGAAAGACCAGGTTGACCTAACAAAGGGAAATAGTTGACATGGTTGGTAATGACAGCATAGGAAGACAAATAACAGGTTGGTTGTTTTCTTTGGTCATGAGAGAGGAAGAAGGGTGAGCAGCGGATAAGTCTGTGAGATCACACTCAGAGATCTAACGAATTTTGTTGGGCAGGCTTTAGGGGGCTCCAACAAGGTCCTTCCCCCATGTGCCTCGGGCTGATGTCACTGGAGTCAAGCTTGAAGAGGCTGTGTGATAAGACTTAATTGAAGATCTTAATAAGCCAGTACGAGCTCTAAAATTCACTTAAGCCAGTCTTTCCAAGGGTAATTTTGAAATCCCTTTGTGTTAGGGAAGTACCAAGGCTATTTCAGAAGTTAATCCCAACGCTATTCACAGAGCATCTTTCTATAAATGATGTGAAAATTCTCATTTGACTCTACTGGCATTAGTGACAAAAGGTGTAAGTTAGCCTGACTCATGCTGAAATGCTGAAAAATTAACTTTCTTTCATTTTTATAGGTAGAGATTATTCAGAAATAATTGGACAATGTCAGCTAAATATCTGTTTCCATGGGAACTACAGCAATATTACTGCCAATAGTTTCTTATGTGAACATGAAGGACATTTTTCAGGTAAAAATATATGCATGTGTGCATGTGTACATACACATAAATAATTTGTCTTAATTATTTCAAATTAAATTACAATTGGAATGTTTCATTTATTAGTGAAAAATACAACTTAAAAATTATATGCTCTGACCTTTTTATAAATAAGTTTAAATCAATTTAGTTAATATAATTAAGTGATTATAAAGCAAACTCTTGAACAACATCGGTTTGAACTGTGCAGGTCCACTTACATGTAGATTTTTTTTCAATAAATATATTGGAAAATTTATGATTATGTATGGCGTGCATTCACATAAGTAGTAGTAGTTAATTAGTTAAGTACCTTACACCCCTTACCCCCAGCCCTCGCCCAGTGCAGCACAGCCTTGATCAAAATTATGCAGGATTTTCAACTGCTTGGGGGTTCAGTGCCTTGAAAACCTGCATTGCTCAGAGTCAACTGTACTGCTAAATATTCCATAATATAAGAAGAGTTTAAAGACCAGTAGACATATACTTTTCACAAAGATAAAATATATTTGTCCTTAAGTACTAATTTTTTTTTTGAAATGGTGCACATTTTGCACTTAATTTGCATAATTGTATCTACCATTTCCTTAGGTAAACATGTCATTACAGATAGGCTCTTTTTATTTATTTATTTATTTTCTTTTTTAATTTTATTTTGTCGATATACAATGTGGTTGATTATTGTGGCCCATTACCAAAACCTCTCTCCCCCCTCCCTCTCCCCCTTCCCACCCAAGAATGTCCTTTCTGTATGCTTGTGGTGTCAACTTCAAGGAATTGTAATTGTTATGTCTTCTTCTCCCCTCCGGTAAAAGAGTAAAATTTTTTTATTACTTTTCAGATGAATTCAAAGAAATAAAGTGAAATCAATGTTTAAACAAATAGTTTCTTAGCTATTGATTAAATATTTAACCAACTGAACTATCTTTAAAGTATTCCAATCTTTGAATTCTTTTACAGTTTTTCTTTTTTCTCAGAAATGTAGTTCACCCTCAGAATATTGGTTCCTCATCAAAATGTAGGCAATGGTATGCCCAGCCACAATTAGATACCTAAAGATTCTTCCTTTTGTGGGAGTGAAACAAAATATGTATCTCTTCCAAATTCCAGAGAATGGTAGTATTTTTCATTGTTTCTCTTACCAGGCCTTCCCACCTGACTGAGTTGAGGGAGATTTGAAGTTATGTTATACTAATTTGCCACTACCCTGTAGTAAGAGGGATTGGTAATTACAACATAGGCAGTTAGAACTACAAATCTCTTCAAAGAAATGTGTTTAGGTCTTTTTCACTAAAATCTTCTATATCCTTGAGGTAGGTTATGAGTTGGAAAATGATTTACAGTATCTTATGCCAGCCGACATACATATGGTGACCGTGTAATTTATCTTTCAAACCATGTCATTTTCGAGCAAAAGAGGTGGCTAAAGGCAATTACAATAATGTAATATTTGAAATGTTTATTTGTCGACTGGTAAATTTGTTTTATTAAATAGGCAGACAACATAGCTCTATTAACTTTTTTAAAATAAAATTCTTTCTGAAGAAAACAATTATAATACTCTGTATATATCAAAGGAAAAATTTTAATGTATTTTACATTGATTATCTGGACATTACAAAATAAGCAGAAACTGTGTTTGGCCATATTTATCCCAGACCTCTGCTGACAGTATTTTTCTGAAGAATAGATATTTTTAAATATGGTCTTATTATTTTAATTTCTCACAAAATTATAACCCTCTTCAAAGTTGCATTTATTATTAATAAATTTGAAAGTATTAATGGCTTTTCTTGACACTTATCTTGGACCATGCTATTTTTAATTGAGGACATTTTCTCTGAACATGTGTTGAGTTTCCTGTTAATCTCAAAAGAAAGTCTGCTAAAGGAATGGTATTGTCAAATTTATATTTTCATATAAAATATGTAGATCAAATATTTTCATAGCAGCCATATTTTTTACTCTGTTTAGAATTATTTTCTTTGACATTTTCCAAGATAATCCTTATTAAATAGATTATGATCCTTTTGAATATTTGGCCAAATTTAGATGCTGCAAAGTTATAGAACATTTCCATTCATTTCCATAATGTTCTAGTTCATAAATTTATCCATGAAATATAGGAGCCCCTTCAACAGATTTGCTTCAATTGTTTCCCACAAGTTCATCTATTCTGAAGCACACTATTAAAATCTTGTACACTTTTAACAATCACAACAATTTCTTGAACTTAAGACAAGTAAACAGATATGATGTTGATGGGGGGAGGGGGAGGGGGAGAGAGTGGGGGGGAGGAATTCGTAAAAGGACATGAAAATCAATTACATTATATATTGATAAATTAAAATAAAATAAATAAAAAATAAAATCTTGTACACTTTTGAACTCTAATCATTGAATTTGCTACGTTTCTTCCTTGCATTGTGGAAAAATAAATTTTAATACTTTTTAAAAAAAATGCGATTCACTAAAATTCTCAAAAGTTGATTTCTTTGGTGTTAAGTTGCTTGATTAAAATCTCAAAGCTGATTGTAAACAAGATACAACCAAAATTTAGAGTATCCTTTTACTAAAATATCAAAACTTTCTTAGAACACTTAGGTTAATTGTCAAAGCCTTTCTACAGAGGTTTAAACATTTCTAAAATTCAAATGGTAATGGACAGAAGCAAGAAAAGCACATTCTGTCATGTTACACTTGTGTTTCTCAACAATTTCTTTGTCACAAAAATTTACTTTTATTATTCTGCAGATATTTAAAATTATCTGTAAAATTTTGCAACTGTAGGTTTTATTTCAGCTATGTGAATATCACAACCAATTTGGATCAAAATAGGAAGTATGTGTGTACCACAATGAATTCCAAGTATATTTTCTGTTTTATATTTTTCTCAATGTGATTAAAACAGTGTATATACCACAATATACTTAACAATATTTGTGTTTAAAATTTTACCTCAGAAACAAACAACTTTATGTTTAAACATTTTTAGTGAATTCATGGTAGCATTTCCAATACTGTCAGATGTCTTGGTTTCAAAAATAAATAAATAAATAAACTTGCAAAGTTCTATTTTAATTTAATGAGTTGGAGGGACGAAATCAAATTGCTATCAGAATTAACCAATTATCTACCTGGAGCCACCGATTTTAATATAAAGCTGGCTTCTTTCAACTGTGTGTGAAGTTATCTGCTTAATTGAGTCAATACATTTACAACTATCACTTTACTTTTCTGTATGTACAGAGTACCTTGCAATCAAAAATGAGAAAAATAATTTGGGGGCAGTCATTTGTTCTAAATGAAAAGACATGCATCACAGAGTGATATGTAAGAATATCTTCTGGATCTGCACATAACTCATCATCCCCAGGCAGTCTTCTAAAATAAATTACAAACATTTGAAATAGATGCCAATGATTCTTCAACTAATGTGTGTCTTCCAGTTTTCATATTCACAACGATGTCACTAATACCCTATGGTGGATTGTTAATAGTGACATAATTCCGGGGAAAATACATATTCATCATTAATCGAGGGAATCATAAATTTGAAACGTTTTTATTAAAATGTAAATGGTTTCTGTTGAACTTATTACATTGTATTCATTGTAGAATAATAAATACTCATCATTGAAGAATAAAATATGGAAATTGTCATAGATTTATACAAGATGTAGGCAAATTTTTTTTCTCTTAAGGGTTAGATAGTAAATATTACAGACTTCCTTAATCATATAGTCTCTATTGCAATAACTCAACTCTGCTGTTGTAGGGTGAAACAGCCATAGACAGTACATAAATGAGTGAATTTCACTATTTTTCAATAAAGCTTTGTTTACAAAAATAGGTGGAAGGTCACATTTGGCTCACAGTTATAGTTTACCAATCCCTGCCCTGATATATGCCATACAATAAATGACCAAACCTCTATAGCAAGAACATATAAACAACTCTGTATAAACTCTGTGACAAAACTGTTCGGCCTCAATTTTTCTTTCTTTCCCACTAGCCCAACTTACTGGCAGGGCAGCATTATCAGTATCCTTCTCTTGCTACCAACTGAGATGAGGAGTTAGCTGTTTTTGGCCGCTTGGGTCTTCAAAATCCCACAAGGTGTCCTTAAATGACAGATATAATATACTGTACCTATAAAGAGAGGTTGGTTATCACTGGTTAATTTATCAGATTATCCTCATGTTAAAATGATTTTTTGCTTATGTATATCTCACACCCAAGAAAAAAGACATGGCAGAATTTAAAGTACAATGTAGTGATTTAATAAACCCATCCTTGTTTATTTTAATGCAACTATCAATAATAGTAGTTGATTAAAAAATCCAGAACAAATGGTAACTTCATATGGAGGAGAATTAGTATTTCAGCAATATTAGGCCTTATACACCATGAATGTAAACTGGTGCTATCCTGAGCAAGCTAGAATTTCAGCCCTATTAATTGGTTTAGTAACTGTAATAGGGATTTTTTTTTTTTTTGTATTATTCTGGGACTTAAAGTCTTAGCCAAAAGTATACAGAAAGCATTACATTTTCACAACTTATAAAGTAGGTCTATATCTATCTAGTTATCTCATACATTTTTAATACTATTTTACAATTGTGTTTTTTTCAAAAACCTTCTGGGACAAATATATGTATAATCTTTTTTTCCACCGTGATGAGTTCTGCATATCAATATGTTTTATTGGATATATGAAACTGGAGTTACAGGGCTGGCCAGTTAGTTCACTTGGAAGAGCATGATGCTAATAACATCAGGGTCATGGGTTTGTATCCCCATACCGGCCAGCCACCAAAAAAAAAAAAAAAAAAAAAAAAAAAAAAAAAAAAAAAAAAAAAAA